AGATATTTTATTCAACAATTAATTAATACATTATAATTTAATTTCAACTTAACTATAAACTTATTTTCTGCACGTCAAATATTTTCACCGTAATTCCAAAATTTGAATTCTTTATTAAAGATTTGAGTTTTTTTTTTTTTTTAGAGACGAAAACTTTAATTACGAAATTACGGAACAATTGTTTGTTATCAAGAAAAATTATTCTGAGATTTTTTAACAATTAAATTTTTAGCAATTTCTTTTTCAGATCTTTTTTTATACAGTTAATAATTTCACCGTAATTTCGAAATCAAGAATTTCGTAATCATCAAAAATTTGAATCATTTATTACGATTATTATTTTGAAGTCCTGGAAAAAATATAACTTTATTTAACCTATTTTTATCTGTACAATGAAAAAAAAAAAGTGACTCTGGTTTGACACCTTATGATGTGACTGAATCAAACGTTTCGTGCAGTGTCTTAGATAGCCTAGCTAGTAGAGTCTTGCGCGCGCGACCAGATGAATAGGTTCGAGTTTCGGTCTAGACTGTCCGAAGTATTTTTTTTTATTTTATTGTCCGTGACAGTAGCGTAAAATCACCGTATTTCAACAGTATCTTGAGCGTACAGTGTCGGTCATAACGTCGTAGATTCACTTGCGTATGCACCGTAAATATTCAATAAATTTATAGTAGACATGGTTCACAACGGTATCCGATGCTGGCTGACAAATCTCTCGGTAAGAACGAACTTAATACGGTGAAACGAACGTGAAATAACCGTCATTCGACCGTGCTTTCACCGTGTCGCCGAAACCGCCCGGGCAATTTGGACCGACTCGGACCGGTAGATTTTGAGAAATCTGAAAAAAGCTACGAAAAAATTTTTTTCAAACGTGGTTTTTTTAGAATAACTTTTAAACTGCTCTACCGTGAAACGGAATGTTATGTATCCCTTGGTCGCCCCATTTTCTCTTAAGGGCGCCACTGGATTTTTGTTCTCAGTATCCAGAAACTGGACCAGAAGATGGAGTGCTAGGTCAGGGTCGCGAGAGATTTGCTGAAAGGAACTAGGATTGAAACACAGAAATTCGTTTAACAAAAATTTTTTATTTATCCACTCCCTTTTACAATTGAAATAATGGCCAAAATAACAATATATAAAATTTCATGGATAACAATCCACACTCACACTCACTCACATACGGTATATTTCTCGCTGTCCAGCTAGACCCTCACGTGGTTGCAGTACCCGATGCCTACTGGACTCTCACGGTACTCTATCTACTTGGCGCCGTCCCCTGGACCTCTGACGCTACTCTTACTTAGTTCGCGCGGTCTTACGGACTCTCACGCCACTGAGCTGGACCTCTGACGTGACTGCATACGTTGTCCACACAGCGCACACTGTCCCCCAAACTTCACGCTACTCTATAAGAGAACTACCCGAAGCTGGATAGTCTCTTTACTCGCACACAAACACACTCTATTCTAATTCCATAATAATAATAATCACGCTTGAATTTCCATCTATAAATAATTTCCAAAATATATAATCAACATTCCTGAAAATTCCGGTTTATCATTTTCCGAATTATAAATTTCTATTAACTAAATTACTGCGGTATCTTCAATTACTACAACAATAATTTTCTAAATGACAATTCCAATTTATCGAGGGTTAAATCCATTCTTTATGTCCGAGAAATTTATTAAATAAATTTTAATCTTTATTTTAGCAAACTTAAATATTTCCGGTAATTGAGTAAATTTAAATCTTTTCCATTATTTAGTTTAATCCAAATTATTTTATTTAATTCCGAGCTATTTTATTTAATCCAGTAACCAGCAGTAAATTTTAATAAATTTATTTTCCAACGCAAAAGTGAAATTTAGACAAGAGATATTTCTATTGTATTTTATTTTGTGTTTCTTAAAACTTAATATTTTATTTTACTTGAGTTTATTTTATTTCAAACGAACAGAAACTTTAGTTTCGACCTTGAATGACCTCTACTTAGCGTTTCTCGCACGGGACAAGATGGCTGACGCTCTCGCTCGGTCTGTCGTCTTTGTCGCACAACTCAAGTATTTTTTTCTGACGCAATTTTCACAAATTTTTATATTCTATTTTCTTTTTGCTAAATAATTTAGATTGACAATTATATTGAACTAAATGATTATTTCCGGACTCTAAGTTTAATTTAAATTAAGACAAATATTAAATAATGCGCCAAATAATTTATTAAAATAACTTTCGATCGGAATAAATTTTTATCTTAAATAATCTTAATCTTGCGGTTTACTCAATTTCAATTTCTATTGGCTTAAGCCAGATTATTGTCCAATGATTCTCAATTAAATAAATTTTACACATGGCGTAAAAATCTGGAATTAATAACCCGAACTAACGCCTAGTATTATTAACCCAGACATGCCTACGTATAAAATATGTAATGACAAAAACAAGTCTATTTTCCCTAAACAAATTAACCAATAACCCGAAACTTGTCCTGGCATTATTAATTAATTGTTTTATAATTTTCTAATCTCAATATTAAATCTGATACTAAATTAAACTATTTAGAAATGATACTTAAAACTAACGATTGTAACTGAGCACGAAATGGCGGTGACCTTCAGCCGACGTGTTGTCTGGCTGATGCCGCAGACCCGAGGAATAATTAAGACTCGTTATTTGTACCTGGAGTTGTTATAATTTTAATCTGCACTCCAACGGTGAGCTGCAACTCCTCGTCTTCGGGTACTGGCGTGAATTTTCCCTCGGTCAGGTATTCTCAATTTGGCGGCAAACTCTCGTCATCATCACTCGCTCTCTGGGTATTTATTACGCCTGTAACCGCAAATCGGCATTAGAAAATATTACAAATTAAAGTTAATTTACGCAAGCTGGCAGGCGGCCTAGCAAGCAATAAACTAACAAAATATTATCGCTTCGTTCCACGTTGGACAAGCAGAATAAAAATAATTACCTTAGCTGGATGTTTTATAAAAATTTGCGTGCCGTCCAGTCGAGCCACTCAGTCACAATGAGTCTTACCAAATTTCGCTCGTTCGTTCTTGCTTCCTCTGCTCTCCCCACTACCACTACGCCGGCTTCTCCACCTCGGGGCCTTTCGTACTAACTCTAAACGAGCTTTAGATCACAGCGCACTGTGAGCAGTCGATAACTAACTGGGTACCGAAATGGAGAATTTACCGAGTAACGATCACTCCGTTACAACCGATTGATTCCA